CGACGAGGAAGACCGGCGAGGGTGGGGACCGACGACCACCGGAGGGGACAGGAGGCGCGGCGTCGCGCTCCCCCAAACGGGATCCAACTGACTGCCCGAGGAAGAAGAGAGCTTGGGGCGATTCGTTTTTTTTTTTGCTTGGGATCCAGCGGCTGCGTGGCTCAAATCGAACGGTCCGGGCTGGACCGGCCGAACGATTCGGCCGGCGCACCGGCGCCTATCGGTGCCCTTTTCCATTTGGTTCCGGTCGTTCTTTTTGTCCAGTCAGATTTTGACATGTGTATTTGTTGTAATTTTAGTCCGTCCCAATCTTTTAAAAAAAGGATTGTTCGCGTTCCGCCTTCAATGGAATTCTAACTCTTCCTCTTGGACCTTTAAGCAAATTGTTTCAGGTGATTAATTTGACTTCTTCCTTTTATATAGAGTTGGAAATTTTTTTAAAAATTATTTGGTGGTATTATACTAATTGTGTTAATTGGTTAAACCCTAAAAGTTATTTAGGGGATTATATTAAGACCTATAATTAGTTTCTACTGTGGAAAATGATATTATAGAAGTTTCTTTATAGCTGATACTATCCTTCCTAGGCTCTACTCTTGTTTTGGGAATTATGCTAAGCTTTATAGATCAATGTTCAGGGGGATCCATAATGGATGCGGCGAAAATCCAATCCGCATCTGGCGACCCTAATCAAGTGAAAGCACATACTTAGCAAGACTATGAGCCTCATAATTCGACTCTCTACCTTCAAAACTAAAAGAACAAATCTCAAAATTATTGATTCTATCAACTATCTCCCTAACTATAGGACTATGAAGACTTTTGGTATAATTCTTTACTCCTAGGCTCTATATAAGTAATAGTATTTTGTTTCTGTCTTCCATGGTCCATGGCCTTGTAAGGAAGTGGTTTGGCATTTTGTTTAGCCACATTGAATTTCCGTTTCCCACAGTAAATTTCCTGTTATTAATAAATAGGAATAACCCGCTAAACCAATTTCTATTGGGCCGCAACCCGAACGCGTGCGCCAGCCATGCATCCAACCAACCAAGGCCCCAAAACAACACATCACAGCTTAGCGAGAGCAACTACTTGACCAGGGCTCCTTTGGGAGCCTCGCAATAATCACTTGCGGATGGGTTGAGAGACGCACTCTGGACACTCCCTTCTGATTTTATTTTTTTATTTTTCCGCACGATTTTTCGGCTTTAAAAATATTTTTTCCGATTTTTTTTGACCTTTTGGTTTGCCATCGGTCTTCCTTAGCTTTTGACCCAAATTTTTTTTGATTTTTTTTGCGTGAAAAAATGCATTTTTTGCTTTCGCAAGAGACACGGTTTTGCTTTTACGTAGGCACAACCATGCCTCTCAGAAACGAAAAAAACACGTTTTCTTTTTTCTTTTTACGCGAGAGGGTTTTGCTTCTGCAAGAGACACGATTTTGCTTTCGCGAGAGGCATGGCTGTGCCTCTCGGAAACAAAAAAAAACATGTTTTCTGTCTTTTTTCCTTCCGGGAGAGGCGCGGTTGTGCTTTCGTGAGAGGCACAGTCGTGCCTCTTTCGGAAAGGAAAAAAATCATGCTCCCGGTTTGGTTTTTTTGTGAAAAAAGTTCGTCAAAACCTATCAACATGGGATCTAGTTGAAGATCTCGACGTGAGGAGAAATCCAATGGTGAAAACGGTTTGAGATTTAAACGCACGGTTTAAGAGATAAAACGCGCCACTTATCACAATGGAGGGGGGGGGATGGGGTTGGGAGTAAACTTTGCAACAAGTACTTCTCAACTAGTGATTTCACAGCTCAGCAGACCGCATCCCATCAGATTTTGCGCCAGGTTATCTCTCGCCCGTTGCGACACCACAAATCCTATTGACGCTCGCGAGTGTCAAAACGACGTGGCTTCGCTGAAGCCTGGCCTCCCGACGCCCTAGTTCAGCCGGCCCATGGTCGGTTTGTCGTTCCCTCTCTTTTTTGTTTCTTTTTTCTCTGTTTCTGTTTCTATTTACTTTCTTTTCCTATTTACTTATTTTATTTTTACTTTTTCATGCATTATACAAAGTTAATTACATGTTTATTACAAAAAAATCCATCGCTTATTTAAGGAAACATTTACCCTATATTAAGAAAATTCAATGTTTATTTAGATACTTTAGTGTATATATCACAAAACTGTTCAATGTGTATTTAAATATTTGTTCAGTGTATATCACAATAATGTTCAGTGTGTATTAAATTGCTTAGCATATATTAAAAAAATATTCAATGTATATTAAAAAATCGTCATTTGGAATTTCACGTTTTTTCATGTTTTCAATAATTTATCACATTTTAAAAGTTTGCTCGAATTTTAAAATGTGTTCAATTTTTTAAAACATTTATAAAAATACGGATCTGCCACTGTACATAGTACTTTTAATATAGCGCTGCATTCTTGTCAGCACGTGAGCTTTGCAGTCAAGCGAGAGGTCTTGGGTACGACTCTGCGCGTGAGCTTTTATTTTTCCTGTACATCCATTCGACGCCCAGAAATGGATAGGCCTATATGCGCGAATCTTCAGCGAAAGCTTGACTATTGGTCGCACGCGGGCGTCTAAAAGGAGCTGGGAGCAACTAGTTAACGAGGACTCC